TATTAACTTTTTAAATTATCAATTATTATAAATTAAATTCTACAAAGAGCCAAATATTTTCTATACCATCAATGTTATATTAAAATCAAAAAACTAAATATTATATATAAATTAGATTTTAAGCAGAGCAATATTTTTTTTGATATTTCAGTGATATTTGTTTTATTTTAAAATAATAATACTTCAATGTCTAAAAAAAAAAATTTAAAATCCTTTCTGATAGGAAAGTGATTAGCGAATCTTGTTGGTGCTTTGGGAAGCCAAAAGTAAAATAGTGGCAAGCGAGGTGTCTAGTCGTTTGAAGGGTCGCTGTAATGGAGTATTGTATAGAATTGTACTATTTTTGTTTGCAGTATTAAGTTTTGTATATTTTGTGCACTATTGGAAAGCGCCGAAACACAATATACAAAAGAAAATGTCTATTATGCACAAAAAAGTACAATTATTATTCGTATTATTTATAAATATCAAATAAGTAAATTAAAATTAGTTTATGTACCAACAAATCAAGAACATAATGCATAATATATTATATTGTATACAATATATTAATAATAATAATATGCATAATGCGATTTACGACGTCCAAGGCATTCTTGTGAWGAAAAGCAGGTTTTGTCTTTAAAGATGGTTTGTGGTTAAGTGGTGGTAATATCCTTCGCGGACGATTGTGAACTCCGCTTGAACACAGGATMAATAAAAATTTGATGAAAAGGTGTACTCCGCCAATTATCTTACCTGTAATGGGTACACGAAAATTCCACCTGYAGCCGACAAAGACTTTTCCTCATTAAATACCTACGTTAACATTTGTTGTAAAGTAATAATAGGTATATATAGGTACGCCGAAATTGCTAACATTATTTATATTAGTTTAATCGATTCATTTATCAATATATTATATTATAATATATTGATAAAATTTTATCTTCCTAATATTTGAAAACAGAATTCCCAATAACGATATCAGTAGGAGGTGCCTATCATAGAGAATTAATCTATTTCTATGGTAAGTATCTGTCTATACTTTGACAAACATAATCTTCGGTCCGTGTTGATTAGTGTTTATATTGTCACTAACTACTAAGTCTATCGTCTAACAAAATATTTTGTTCGGGAAAAGAATTAATTAATGGCCAAAGAGGTATGTATATTTATTGCTTTTATTTGACAGTTATTATAAATACAACGAAAATATAAACTATGTGTCTGCTGAAAGTGCTAAAAAAATTGCAATTTGTGTGAATTTACTGAAAATTACTATTTTTATTTTTATTTTTTATTATTATTATATAATATACAAGGCATCGATTAAAAAAGTCATTGGCCGCGATTTTTGTATTACATGAAAATTATATAAAAAATTTAAGTAGGTACAGTAGAAGACTTAAGAATTAGATAACATATATACATTTTTGCTTTTTTTTATTGAATAGTTTTATACAAATTAGTATCCTTGATAAAATGTAGTGTGTTGTTGATATTTAGAGGTTCGTTACTGAGGCATTTAGAAAGGAAATTTGAGATGTTTTGCTTTGATCTTTCTTCGCTGAATTGGCGACATTTTAATAATATATAATATGCTTGACGGTGATTTCCGTTTCACAGGTAAGGCATTTTTTTAAATAATATTATATACAAACAAATTTTATATCTTTTACTAACTTTTTGGTTTTAAGTTTTATATATTTTGAGAATACTACATTTAACTATTATCTTTTAATGTGGACGATTATTACTATATAATTTACTGA